TTGCTGGGACAAATACCTGACACTCAAAATGAAGGAAGAAAAAGTTTATTTAGCTCACAGTTACTGGAGGTTTCAGTCCATACTCAGCTGGCTCCAAGGCAGAGAGGCACATGGCAAAGAACAACCTTTCCTGGTGGAGGCAAAGCCAAGAGAGCAAAGGAAGTGGCAGCAGCTCAGGCAGCTAGCTAGCCTCTCTCCCCTCCTTACATTGTAATGCAAATAGCCCACCCCAGGGCAAGTATAGCATCCATACCCACAATAATCAATCAGAACTCCAGAAGCCACCCTATGAACTGCATGAGGCTTTGGGAGGACACCTATGCACAAACCACAACAAATCCAAAAAGGAAATGAGTCACATAGCAAGGATACATGGAAAGAAGAAAGGCACTACTGGAAAATGGGTCCAGATGTCCTGTCACTCACCTGTGTGTCTGATGCCTAGCTGGACTCACTGCAGATTTCCCTCCAGCCACAAGCTTGGTGTGTCTAGCCTTCTGCACTGATTCCCTCTCCCTCAAGGGCCAAATCTCTTTAGCTATTAATTTCTATCTAATTTAGCTGTCTATAATAAAAGTAATTGGGGCCAGCCAGATAGCCCAGCAGATTAAAGCGCCTGCTCAGGCAGATACAGGAGCCAGGGCTTCCATGCCCAGTCTGTTGTGCCAGCCCTGACCCCAGGGCATGCTGAGAAAGCAACTGAGACTGGGCATGGTGGTGCATGCCTTTAATCCCAGCACTTGGGAGGCTGAAAAACAGGAAGGATCACTACAAATCCAATCTGTGTAGTAAGACCCTGCAAACCCTGTACTAAATATGTTTTTTAAAAAAGCAATTAAAAAGACCAATGAAATATCATATTCACATCTAATTTGTCAAAACTACAGCATGACCATGTGAAAGACATCCTGCCATTATACTCAACAGTCATAGGAATACATGCACACTAAAAACAAGTAAAAACCAAACTAAGATATGTGGGGGGAAATGTAACTATCTGCCTAGACATGCTCATATTTTTTTTAGATCATGAAGCTATAAATAAACCTAAATGGTCAAAAGGCAACAAATATATATAATGCACTGTTTTGTAATATCTAATGATTTCTTCAACTTAACCACCCTCTGTGACTCACTGACCTAATTTTTTTTGGATTTTATTCATTCATTCCTTCATTCATTCAAGCACTCATTGAGCATCTACTATAATAAACCCAGTGATTTACAAAGCAAAGTGATTGCCAAAGTAAGTTAGGGATCATTCCTCAAATATTCCAGTAAGAGAGAAGAAAAAAGCTCCTCTGATGGTTCCATAAGCCATGTGCTTCCGCAACTCACACTCTTTCCTCCTCTTTCCCCTTCTTCCCTTGTTATGGTTTGTATCTCGATATCCCCCCAAAGCCTCATGCAGTCATAGGTCTTTTTTAGAGGTGGCTGAATCTAGAGTGTGTGATGCTGGAATTGGTTTGGCACAGTTTTGGCTATGATTAAAGATATGAGTGCTATACGTACCCTAGGGTGAGTCATCTGCATACTATATAGGGGACAGTCTTGTCTTCCTCTCGTTTGTTTTTGCTGACTTCTGCCACTAGGAACAGTTTCTACTCTAGGATGCCCTTCTGCCAGACACACTGCCTTGGACCTACTTGATTATGGAGTGAAGGGGCCCACCGGTTAGCTCAGTTGATTAAGCACCTGCTCATGCAAACGCAGTCAGGCACAGGATACCTTGGTTTGATTCCCACCTCCACCTGCATTACCAGACCTGCCCTTAAGGCAGCCGGAGTACGCCCCCCCCCAAAAAAAGAAATAAATAAAACATTTAAAAATACATATATACATATATATCATTCTTGATTATGGAGTGAAATGTCTACAAAGTGTACATTAAATAAACCTTTTCCCCTTTCACTTCAGGTGTCAATTTTGTTCTCAGCAATGCGAAGAAAGTCACTAAGATAACCTCAGTACCCTCCCTCCCTAACTTGCAGCACATTTACTCAAGTTCTTGCAGCTTCACTACCCTTTATTCTCATTAACTCTTGGTGTTCTTTAGGATTCTATGATCTTTCTTCCTGTTTGCTGCATCATTCAACAAGCTCCTCAAATCAACATATCTTGTTTCATCATCTTGACCTCCCACATCAGCTACAGTCATTTCTATTCATGAGTAAAAATTCTGAGGCCAACCTTGACACATCTCATTTCCCCAAAGTACATCTACTTCAAAATTTTCTTTTGATGTTCACTTTTTATGCATAAACCCTTATCATTGAACAATAAGCATCTTGGCTGACCTCCACAGTACCATTAAACTACACATTTGCTCCCGCATAATATCTGAAAACATTTAGAGCTTCATTTCCTGTATCTAAATTTCTT